TCTAACTGGTATAAGACCTGGTTATCATTTTTTTTTCTTTTTTTGTTTTTTTGTAATCAATTCACCCCAAGCTAGGTGAAAAGACAATTAAGACTCAAGAGGCTACTAGAAGTGACAGAGCATTAAAAGACTTTAGTAGGAACCGGAAACCCAAATATACTACAATATCTTCACATAAAAAAGCGACAACCCAAAGTCAATAAAATCTGTTTCAATCCTAATATTTTTTTCAATCCCCATATTGTTTTCTTAACCGTAAGGTCCACTCCAGCAGCTTTGGGCACTTCGACTTGTCTTGCTAGATTAATTACGTGTGAGTAATAAGTACTATTCTCACTGGGTGCCCCATCGTTCGGCCGTGTACTAGATGTAAACTACGCTTAGAAAATCATCCATTCCTGCGAACCTCTGCTTTGTGGAACCGACTCCCGTGAAGATGTTTCCCGATCACTACAATCTTAACCCATTCAAGTATAGGGCTTTCTGTTATCTTCCCCATATATCTGCATAATGTGCCTCTTACTCAGTGTTATACAGGAATAAAGTGTCGCTGCCGACACTTGAGTTTGAACATAGATCGCCATTGAGCAAACACAGGCGATGGCATTATTGGATTAATTGAATCACGTGACCATAGAGGAAACACATATATGTAGGAAGTAGTTGACGACTAACAATCGCCACCTCTAGTCTATCTTCTATACTATACAGATCTTTATTTCTAGTCTATCCTCTATTAGTATTCGGACTACTATTTTCTACTCTATTCCCTCTAATATTTCTCTATACAGATCACAATACCGATTACTGTTCGAGCGGATGTTATCGAGCAAGTGTTATTCGAAGGCGTCTGGCATTAGTATTGTTACTATAGTTGTATCTAGGATTACAAAGTCTACTACAACGAGCATCACAAAAGTGACAACCAGTATTCGTTGACATCACAGAACTCAGTAACCCTCAACCTCGAGTGGCTTCCGAGGCTTGTACAGAGTAAACATGTAAAAAAAAAAACTGTGAAAAATAGATCTATTTAGCTACGTGGCGCTGAAAATTTATTCCATCACCACAACATAAGATGTTCGACCATTTTAAGTTGGAAGCTGTTCATAAACATTCCACCGACTACCTGATGTCTTTGTGTTTTGTGTAACTCTGTATATCAGTTTGTAACAAGAAGCCGTTCGTTCCAATCAAAGAACACGCCGTTCCAGTCGAATTCCTTCAATCTTTTTTTGGTGTGTTGATGATGGTTCTAGGTTTGGCAGTTACACACTCAGTATCATGTTCGATATTTTCTTTCGTTCTCGGGCGAAGTCCTGTATTATTACTGTTGTCATGTTGTCTCATTACCATACTTCTGAACTTCCTTCAACTTACCATTTTCTGCCATTCTTCGCCCCTCCCGCTCGCACTCTAGTCCTTGTCACTTTCTGTTTGTTCTCATCTTGTCTTCCACATCCGTCTCATTCCTCCATATTTCACACCTCGCTCTCTGCCAGGACTTACTCTTCAAGCCCAAATGTGCCGATCCCATTACAAAACAAAGGATCCTCGATTAACGAAAACAAACCGAGTGAAAAACTAAACAAAATCTTCTTTTAGCGACAAGATTCGTCTTACCTCGTCAGCAAAACACCTGGGCTCCGACAATAACAACTACGACCCACTACTCTGCATCACGTCGTCTTTTATAACCATAGTAAGTTAACGAGGCGATTGCTAGAGTAATGACATCGATCCGCGTTGGGAACCCTCGCGCCTGACTAAGCTGAACTTTTATATATATATATATATATATATATATATATATATATATATATATACCCCTGCCTGTTTCTTTCGCTATAGACAAGAAAACAAATTGTAATATTTTCTTTAATTGGAATCACCCCCAAAACACAAGGGGGTACCATGTGTGGAAGAATTAGGAACAGAAACATTAATGATGAGCAGAAAGAGAAGAGAGTAATCAGGTATAGCGATTGACATTGCATTTAAATTTTGCAGATTAAAGCTGGCTAGAAAGCATATAGTCAGAAGGGAGTTCTACAAACAAGAAATGTGAGAAAAAAACTGTTAGCATAGAATTTATGGCTACATCTAGCCAGCTGAACTCTTTGATTTATTTTGAAAAATATTAGGTTGAGTCATAAGTAATTTCCATTTTGGGGAATCGATTGTAATGGTTGGTTTCATTGATTTGTATTTGTACAGCTCATGCACCCTTTGCAGTTATTTAAAGCTGAAACATATTTCAGACTGTAGTAAGTTACTTACAGTACCTGGTATCCCCAATTGGTCACCTATCTATGTACTGACTGGACCAGTATTTTCAGTATGATTTGACCATAATCACATTTGTAATGATGAATGGATAATCCTAATGACGAATTATACTTGGTAATTAAGAATAAATTTGGAGTGTACGAACATACCTAAGATTTTACATCACAATGACAGCATAGATTAAAAAATAGATTAAAAAGAAAAATGTTTTGTTTTCTTTATGAAAATGCATGGTTGCATACAACATGAAAAACAGAAGAGAAAGTTTGGAACTCAGTTCAACTGGCCTTGTACCAAAGCGATTATTACCTTTTACAATCGCTGCAAAATGCTTTGAGCATATGACCATATAGCATTGAAATACTGGTTTATATGCAATCCCGAAAGTTAAGCAACATTGAGCCTGGTCAGTACCTAGATGGGTGACTGCTTGGGAATACCAGGCGATGTAAACTATGGATGTGCAGGTGGTGTAATGGATAATGGCTCGGAATTGTTAATCAGAGTTCCATTTTCATTTGGGTTTGTTATTATTCACTTATGCACAAATACCTTGAAAAAGGTATGAATCCACCTCTTCTCTCAAGCTATGGGTTGACTAAGACTAAATCATTATTATCTTCAAAAAAAATTCTTACAATCTTAAAATATTTTCTGGTGATAAATAACCTGCAAAGGGTTGGTAAGCTGTAAAAAATGAATGAATCAATCAAAAAACACTTTGGGCGTGACAAATTTCTCTAATAAAATCAGATTCAAAAGTCTCTTGAACACTTTTTTTCACATCAAACTCTGTGGAATTTTGCTCAAAAGTTTCAAAGAACTGCCTGATAAGTGGCAAGAAGTCTTTGCAAATAACAGCAAATATAGAACTGAATAAAAATGTAATTGTACTTTGTTTTTTGTTTTTTTGTTGTTGTTTTTTTCACGAATAAAGTTCGTAAACACAACCGATGAGCAGAAAGAGAATATAGACATTGCATTTAAATTTTTACAGAAAAAACATCACTGGAAAGTGCGAGAGAAGAAACTGTTAGCATAGAACTTACGGCTGCATGGGCTAGTTTTTAAATGAATATATATATATATATATATATATATATATATATATATATATATAACTTTAGCGTTATTTTTAGTGGATGCTCATATTTGAGTAGACGCTCCATTTATTTGTTAAACAGTATATTTATTTATATTTTTTCGTTTATTCAGTCCGGTAGACGAAAATAAATATACTGTTTAATAAATAAATGGAGCGTTTACTAAAATATGAGTATCCACTAAAAATAATTTTTAAAGTGATAGATCTGCCAGACTGATAAATAAATCTTCAATTTTCTTCAAGACTTGAAAAGTTGCAGTAGACGGGTATTTCAGCTAGTATATATGTATAAATTGTTCAAGTGTAGGTTCACAGAATCACATTATACCATTTCACCATCTTAAAAAGTCGTTCAGAGCATTTTATGGACGCATGCGCACTATTTACAATGACATTTTCAACTATTTTCTTTCATCTCATTTCTTTCTCGTTCGTTAAGATGAACTAAGATCATGTCTTATCATGTTTGGCCTTCAAAACCAATTAGAATAAAAAAAATAAGAAGTCTACATGGAGAGATAGGCAAAATATATTCTTAATAGTGCGCTTGTTATTTGGGAAATGGTAGATAAAATAAGATTGATATCTTCAAATTTATTTACATTTATTTAACTTTGTTGGCTTTTTTTATTTTAAATATCCGTGAAGATTGTTACATCATTTTTTCCTTAAGTGAAAATCAAGCCAATGGTATCGCTGGGGATTGGATAAACGAAGTATGAATAGACTGTGCAACAATGTAAGTCTGTGTTTTGTTCCTTCAATTTTACATAGGGGAATAGACATATGCAGATAATATATGTGTAACGTAGGCCTACGAAATCAGTGGTTAGTGTTCCAACTGGAACAGAGTTGAAGCAGCCAAAATGTTGTTCTCCAGAAAGATAATGGGAATATCATAGACCGGACATATGTGCATGGGCGAAGGTTGTAGAGAAAATGGGAAAAAAAGGACAATTATACTTAACAGAATGAAGTGAGAGTTGAAATTTCTAGAGCACATAATGGAGAAAGAGGTCTTGGGAAATTTGACACTCACAGGAAAGATTGACGGCAAGAGAGACAGGAGAAAATAACGCATAACTTACCTAGTAAGGGGAGATAACAAAAAGACAACATTTATTAAGAGCTGCAAAGGACAGGAAATTGCTGAGAGCCTTTGTCGCCAACATCCTGAAGGGTCACGGCACATAGAAGAAGAAGAAGAAGAAGAAGAAAAAGAAGAAGAAAAAGAAGAAGAAAAAGAAAAAAGAAGAAAAAGAAGAAAAAAAGAAGAAAAAGAAGAAAAAGGAGAAGATGAAAAAGAAGAAAAATAAGAAGAAATAGAAGAAGAAGAAAAAGGAGAAGATGAAAAAGAAGAAAAATAAGAAGAAAAAGAAGAAGAAGAAAAAGGAGAAGAAGAAAAAGAAGATAAAGAAGAAGATGAAGAAGAAGAAGAAGAAGAAAAAGAAGCAAATGCGGTTAATTTGTTATTATTTAATATATAATATATATTCTGTCATTTTTATAAAGTTTAGTTCGAGTAAAGAACTGCATATATATCCCCTAAAAATGTTATTTCCGTTAACTGCGAAAAGCAGTTTTTCAACATTGTCTCTGAAAAAAACTTTCCTCGTGCTACGAGAAGAGGATATTTTATTCATCTTTTGGTGGATAATTAACATCATTACAAGAATGGCCATGAAATTTAATTAAGCGGTGAAAATGAAGCTCAAGCAAAATACAAGGTGTTTCCCAATTTTTTAAACATAATGATCAGGTACAAAACAAGGATCAAAATGATAGCATAATAGAAAAAAAAAAACATTTTAGGATCTGCAACCATTTAGTCTCAAACATAAACCAAAAATGTGAAGAGGAGCTCTACAGTACATGCTCCAGATATCCACCATTCAGTTGAAGGCACTTTTGAATGCAAAGTTGTTGGGTGATCGCTTGAATCTTTTCAGTGATGGCTGCCTTCAACATAGCACTGTTGCAGAGGCTACTCTTGTAGCTGTTAACCTTCAGGAACCCTCAGAGGAAGACATCTAGGAAGATAATGGTTAACTCTAGACCCGAACAAGTTAGGATTGTAGTGATCAGAGAAACATCCTGGGAGTCAATTCCACAAAGCAACGGTTCATCGGATGGAGTTACAGAAGTGAAACTTGAATCTTGCCAATGGGATATGAAGGGAAGGACTGTGGTTTACTCTAATGTGTATGGCATAGAAGGTCGTAGCCATGAAGGTTAGAAATGGTGAAAGTAGTTAATCTAAACACTTTCCATAGAATTAGCAATAAAGCAAAAAGAGGCTGGAGGGTCAGGTCAGGTCAGGTCAGGTCAGGCGAGTGAGACGCCCATTCCATTTCAGCTTTGCGGTTGATGAGACGTTCCCCAAACTTTTCACGGAGCCATGCCATGGTAACATTGGCAGTGTGAGGAGGAGGAGGACCATCCTACTGAAACCACTGTTCTTCCTCATCAAGGTCCTTACGATCCTCGAGCTCGCCTCATCTAAGAGGCCGCTGCTTTGTTTCAACCATTGTGAAACACCCTGGAGTCTTTCCTGGAGTCTCCATGCAAAGCAATAAAACTACGAAAACGCAAGGCCGTTTAGGAAAAAATATAAGAAAAAGAAAATATTATTAAGGAGAGAGAACAATAAACGAACAGAAACTAAGAAGACAAAACATAAAGACTTTTGATGATCAGACTTGACTGGAAAACAATAAGGCGTAAGAGAGTTCCATGAGCGAGAAGTGCTAGAGAAGAAACTGTTAGAATAGAACTTACGGTTACATCTAACCATTTCAAATGTAAAATGGTGAGACCTAGCTGCCAATCGAGTACTGCGCTTTAATTCGTAAAGTCGAGTTGCCAAAGAGGAAAGTTCATTAGAACAATTACAATGAAAGTATTTATAGAAAAGGCACCGGCAAGCTCCATTACTGCAGTGGAAAATGACTGAAGCTGAAATGCCAAGTCAGAAGCGATGACATTACAGTTTCTCCTTTGGATTTGATCAAGAATATACTCTAAATACATAGCAGAAGCACAATGCCATATATGTGACAGAAATATTCAATGCGTGGACTTATAAATATGTAAGATAGATTCTGGAGTGGAAAATTGTCTAGCACATTGAACCAACTTTCCTGGGCGTAGACCTAGCAATAGATTCAATATAATCTTTCCATTTCATGTCAGCGGAAAACATCAGCCCCTCTTTTTAATAAAGAAAAAAAAAACAGAGCTCAGGCCGGAGGGTCTTCCACATTCCTTTTCAGTAGCAAAGAGTCAACGCCTTGAAACAGGAACTCCCTCGGGTTAAGGTAACTTCCGCAGCTGCTGTGGAAGGAAAAAAAAAATTCTTTATATCTTCTGGGCTGCGCCGGTCATTGACAGACCGAGCAGACGGGGAATCATTTCCAAAAATTAAACTTAAAATCAGGTTGCGATTGTAACAAACTGTAAACGAATTGTAATTTAATAAATATGCAGTAAATGGGATGAGACGTTAATGAGGCAGAAAGAACAAATATGATAGTCTTCTTAGTATATCCGACTACATCAAACCTATTTACATTATTCGGACTATTGTCCTCATCTTTGTCACCATATTTATTACAACGTTTCGGCCGTTGTACGCTCCGGCCTTCTTCGGGTGGTTGGACTATCGAACTGAACATTTTATTTCGTTCACTGGGGTAGAGTGTTCTAGTTCCACGTGCCATGTCTAATGGATGTCAATCAGTTATCTCCTGTTAATTCCCCTCTCCAAGTTCTCCACCGCCTTAACCAGGTATTGAACTCACACTCTTTGGGTCTTGTCACTGGATCTAACTAACGCCTTTATCCACTGTGTCGTGTGTCCTCAAGGTTAAGGCGGTGAAGAAACATCAGGAAGCCGGTAAATAAGTTTCACAGGCGAGAAGTGCGAGGAAAAAAAAGCATGAATCATGCTTACATCTAGCAATTTCAGCAGTAAGATGATGAGACCTAGCTGCCAATCTAGTACTGCGCTTAAATTCATGAAGTCGAGGTAACAACAAGAAATCTCATGAGAACAAATACCGGTAAATTATTTAAAGAAAAGGCAAAAGAAATCTACGTTACGGCGGTGCGAAAATGACTTAAGCCGAGATGCCAAGTTAGGACCGATTACTTTGCTGATTTTTTCTTTGGATTTTACCAAGAATCTCAAGTGATATAGCACAAACAACAGACCAGATGTGTCAACAATTTTCAATGCACAAACGAATGGTAGGAATAAATGGTGTGAGATATATTCTGTCAAGAAAAAAATTGTCTAGAACGAAAAAAAGAGCTGTTCGAGTAGAACATCTTCCTTACAATTGGAA